AAATCATAAGCTGGTCAACGATTTGTTCTTCTGGAAAATGTTAATTTTGTGGTTTCATAGAACATGTTCTTTGTCCAGATCATCAATTTTGCATAGTCTATGTGCATGGTACATATGGTATAACCCCACTTATTTAATACCTTTCCCCACCTCATTCGGAGGACATGAGAGGACTTGGATCTGCCTGGGTTGGGTCATGTGCTCTTCCTTGGGGCCAGTCACCCTAGAATGGAATGGAGTACTAAAAAAAGGGAAGGGGTGTTCCCCAAAGGAAGAAATTCTAGGCAAGCCATGACCTGCCACTTGTATCCCTTCCTTCCTTCCTTTCTTCCTTCCTGCCTCTTTTTTTTTCTTTTCTTTTTTTTTGTGGTTCGCAAAGACCTTTACTGTTGGTTCCTTCCAGAGCAGGCAGGACACATGCCAAATGCCAAGTAGCTGTGGTCCGGCATTGCTCTCAGCTCCACTATCTCAGTGGAATGAACTCTGGGCAAGATAGACTCCAGCAGGGTCACTCCTCCAGGGGCGCATAATCAAGCAGCTTCTAGGTCACGTCCCCATGCGCCAGCAGCACGCAGTGGCTGCAGGAACGCTTCAGGCCCAGCGCATCCAGGACATCCCCCTTGGGGTCCTCAGTCTGCACCAGCCTCAGGTAGGCCTCCCATTTGTTGCCAATGACCTTGCCACAGGTGAAGCAGCGCACAGGTATGATCATGGCGGCAGGACAGCAGCTGGCCAGTGCCACGGGTTGTCCAACCACCCGCCATGCTCCAGCATTCTCCACACTCATCTCTTTTTTCGCTGCACCTGAACTATTTACAGTTCCAGAACATGCCAGACTCACTTGGTGGTCTCTTATTTTGCATATCTCACTGTATTGGTCCAAATTCCTGTATTCTTTACCTAGGCAAGATCTAGTTCGTGACACTTCCATGTGACGTCTTTCCTGATCCTCCCTACTGGGCTGGCATTTCATAAGCATACTCTTGACATCACACTACACACTCTTGGAACTGTTTGCATAAGTGCTTGTCTCTCCCTCACTATCTAGCTCCTTGAGTTCAGGTGTTGCACAATGCCTGGCACATAGTAATGTGCCATGGGTAGCACAGTAGCCCCACAAAGGTTTGTTGAATGACTAAAAGATAACCTCAGCATGGATAAGACCTTGCCCTGCTGCCTCCCTTTACAAAATTCCCACAAAAAATCTTGAGCAGCCTCTTGTTGAATTTTTGTTTAGGAGTAAGATATATTTTAAATAAAACCTCACACGACACATGTAACTTGCTAAATATGTGTTTATGAGGGAGACATGAGATGTGAATATTAAATTCTAAATTATGCTAAATTAAGTATCATTCACCTTTGAATATGATATTATAGTCCTATTTGAAATATTGGTGGGTCTGATTAGCTAGGTCAGGGGTTCTTAACCTGGAGTCCACAAACCTCAGAGGGGATTAAGGATAGAATTCAGATGATATGTGAACTTGGGTGGGGGAAAAAAAATTATTTTTCACTAGACTATTACTGAAATTTAGTATTTCCTTTGATTATAAATGCAGGCAACTATCCAGAGTTCATCAGGCAGTAGCTGACTATCAATAACAGAAATGAGGTATTTTTGATGTCACACTCCAGTTGTTGCAGAGATCTCAATGTATTATTTACGCTGCTTCAATGTCATAGCAGTTATTAAACTCCCTGCTAGATCTGGTTATTAAAGGAACACATATATGACTGTATCACACATTTACATAATTTTGATAACTTACACTTCAATATAACTGGTTTTGTTAACCCCATGCGTTTTATTTTCTGCACTTAAAAACATTATTCTGAGAAAGGGTCCATGGCCCATAGACGTGAGAATGAGACCAAAGTGTGATGGTCTGATTCCAGAGACACGTAGCCGACCCGCCTTCTTCTAATGCCATGCTAACAGAGATTACAGGCCTTTTGGAGAATCTTAAAACTACAAAACTAAAAAAATAATGTCCTGATGGAAAATTTTGTCTGGATGGAAAAGGCATGTGATTTATTTAAGTTTCAGAGAATCTCTGGGCTGGGTTGGCAGAGTGGGCCTACTCAGAAACTCACAACAAAATGCTGCAGACAGTGGTTTAAGAGTTTCCCAAAGATGGCAAATTCATTTCTTTGTGCGGTTATCTGCATAGATATGCACTAGAACTGAATTTTGGTTATTGAAACTCTTAGGACATGCTCTGTAAGGGTGTGAGCTCCTGTCTAACAATGTTTGGCGACAAGGCCTGTTAAAGAGGTAAACTCACTGGAATTCCTGTTCCCTTTGGTCTACTGGTCTTGGTTCCAATGGGAAACTTGGTTCTTAAATTAAGATACTTGGAGGAGATACTGTACAAAGGTGTGGGGTAGGGGAGGCACAAGAGGAAACACAGTAGCTTCAGCCACTCCAGGCTAGTGGCAGCAGACCTGACATCGTCCCCCTGGCCAGAAGGCAAGAGAACAGGGAGTGGCAACTCGAAGGGAAGTTCGGAAGTGGAGCTGACAGCTGAGGCAGCCCGACTGGGGGAGAGGCAAGAGAATAGACACCCTGAGTGTCCTCAGATCTCTGGGCAGCGTATTCCTTGGCCAAACCCACCCAGAATTCAGGAGGCAAAGGAGCCCACTGCTGTAATCCAGTCATCAGCCTCATGGGGCAGAGAGCAGAGTGGAGTTGGAGCGCTAGAGAGACCCAGCACATTTGGCAAATCCTGACCATAGCACTTACCACATTATCGGGTGGTCCAAGAGGGCAGAACTGTATTTTTTTTATTCATGGCTATGCTAGTCAAGTTTTGGCACACAGTAAGTGCTCAGTATTAATGAATGAATAAAGAACTGAAATACTGCTGAAACAACAAGTAAAAGCATCTATTTACTACACACAATTAGGAAATAAGTATTTACTTCCAGAGTGGATATTTAAAATGTTATGGAAATACTGAAGCACAATTCAGCAATAAATTCTATTCTGTAGATGAGGCAGATATATGTCACAGCTTTATAATATAATTAAGCACTGTCAATTCTCATTATTCGTGGATTCCACATTTGCAAATTTGCCTACTCTTTAAAATGTTTTGTGGTGCTTTCATGGTTATGTACAGAGGGGTGAAAATTTTGACTTGCCCAGTGCATATGCTCCCAGTTGAGATTGACAAGGTGACGTGCTGCTTTCCTGTTTCAGCTCTCATATTATTAACAAGTGTCCTTTGCTCTACTTAGTGGGGTTTTTTGTTTGTTTTTAAAGATTTTTATTGGAGAATCGGGGAAGGGGAACAGACAAGTTACTGTCCTTTTGTTCTTCAGTCTAGTTGTGGAGGATGTCGCTACACTGGCCCATGTTGGTATTGTGATCATTGTGCTCTTCCCAGCTGAGGCAGATCAGTCGTTGGCCATTGGACAGCTGCTCATGATGGCTCTCGGCAGCTCACGCCAGCTGCCGGCTGCTCATGGTAGCTCACGGCAGCCCAGCTCCAGGTCGAGCTGTTGTTCACCATCTTAGCTGTAGAGGGCGCAGCGTCACTGGCCCATGTGGGATCCGAACCAGCGGCCCTGCTGCTCAGAGCTTGTGCTCCCATGCCAACTCTTAACCAATGAGCCACTCGGCCGGCCCTA